AATTTTGAAAATGACTTCCTTCTATTTCAGCACTTAAAGTGAGGATTTAAATGCATAGTAGTGAGCGAAGAATCAGCACCACACACCATTAACCTACATCAAAATGACTGACCACCCACTGGACAGGAGGCTGAGTATGCCCCGCAGCAAATCTGAATATGAATATTTCCGTCTTCTGGGTTGTTGCGCTGTGTAGTCTGGTCGACAACAACCCAGAAGACGGAAATATTCATACTCACCGCTGTGAGAACCTCAAGTCTTACAAATCTGAATATGTTGGCAAAGACTAAATTCCCACCCATCAGATTCAAAACCTGGCTAACCTGCCCATATACTGATTGAGGTATCCCTGCTCACCGAGAAAATAACGTATCAGTTATTACAGAGTATCCACTGAAATGTCTTAACAATGAATTTAAGAAGATCTTAAAACAAAATAACTCATTATAAATTAAAACATGATAATATGTGAAAAAAAATCTCAGAAAATATAATACATAATATACAAGGCCATAAAAATCAGTCTTCTTGTAGGACAAACATAACCTGAAATTTCAGGTCCAATAATAATTCAGTACCTGGTATTATGAAACAGTTTTACTTTTTTTTAGTGAATCTCATAATAATTAATTAATCATGTTCCACAACAGATTTATAACTAAGCTGTCACTACATCTTCTGATACTCGGCTTATGGTCCTGCTTTCCCCCACTACTCTAATCTTCCACCACTCTCATGCAGGCAAGAGATCACCATAAACAGGACTACACCATGAAAATACAGAACAAAAAATGGCTTAGCATAGAAAGGGTTAATATTTGGCTTTACTGTTTCAGTCTCTTACCCGGTGTCCTACGTGAGCGATTAAATGCAAGTTGCGTGGGTGAAGCGGAAATATCAAACTGGCTGTTTGTGTGGAGCTGTCCTAGGTGCCAGCGAAGCGGTCAGGAGAGGGAAGCGGCCAAAGTCCGAGATCAAATATTTTGATATTTTTGCGCGAGTCGCTACTCCGGCCAGTAAGGCGCATGTTCAAGAAAGCTCTGACCGTGCAGTACACGGAAGGTGCATGCGCAGGAAGGCCGTGTGCTTCTATTGCGGTCTCTCACGTAGGACACAACAAGCGATTCCCCGCTTCATATGACACCCCATGCTGCTAATGCAGTGCGCATAGCTCGCTTGTTATCGCTTACGTAGGACATTGCCTTAGAGCAGTAGGAGCAGCCTTTGTTTTGACTCACTGTGTGCTGAGTGTCAGCTCAAGGTATGAGAGCTGCGAGTCACTGGTCTGGCGCTCAATCAGCTGTTTATTGACAGATGAAAGCATTTCTCGGATAACTTCCTCCAGCTGACCATGCGGACAATGAAGGGACATGATGAGATCATTGATCTGATTCAGTATCGTCACATCCTCAGCAAGGTTTTCCATCTCATTCAGCATCCGACGCAAGTTCTCATCTTTAGCTGAAAGAACATCAACCAATGAAAATGATACTATGAATCTTTGTAAAGTAAGTCTGTACATTTCAAGGTAATTATAAGTAATTGTTAACACACAATAATTAACTGTCAAAAAATACATAATTACAATTTTTAAACAAATTTTTCATGTCATTATCACAAATTAACGTGAACGATAATACTTCCACATATTTTGGAATTAATGTTCTTAATGTGCATAAAATAATCTAAAATTTTGTCATAAAGAAAATAAATATTATTTTTTTAATATTCTTGAGATAAGTCAAGGATACAGTGGAAGATGCGATTATCAAGAAAACTCAAACATATACAAAGAATGCGAAGAAACAGATTACCAATGTTTGCACTGTACTACACACACACATATCCAAACAGAAATGATTCCAGAAAAAGGCAAAAAGCAGTTTTTGGATAAGAGTTGATGGAACACACTCTACAAGCCTAAAATCCAAAACTAACTACGGCATTAATATTACAGCTACACTAGATGGCAGTGCACATGAAAGTCATGATGGAAGCAACTTCATTTTGGTAGTTTTTTAAACTTCCTCCACCATCAATACTGAGCACAATTATAAAATAAGATAACCCGATTTCTGACCAGTATAGGGACTTGAAATTCAAAATTTGGTAAGATGACAGGGCTCTTAAAAGTAAATAACCTTTATTATGGTTATTTTTAGGAAGATGAAAAATAAAATAGTAACCACATAAAACGTTTTAGTTTCTTAATTAAAACTGAATAATCACTGCTACTTGACATGTCAGATTCATGATATGGCATGCTGCAAACACAGCTAATACTCTTTACGCTAACGATAACACCTACAAGGTACAGTCTTTCAGAATCCTAGTATCCATCATGCCAACAGAATATTTTTTAACACTTGTAAGATCAAGATAAAATATTCAAGACTTTGGATCTGAAGTAACATTATCACACATGTGAAACACTGTCTCAGCATATAACAAAATCAGACATCGCCCTGATGTCGGAGACAGCGTGGACCTCTGAAACGTCGGTAAATTTCTACAGGACTACCTGGCGCAACAACCCAGAAGACAGCCAATTTCAGATTCACTGCAGTGAAAACCTCAAATCCTACAAAATCAGACACACCTTTCACTATTTCCAAATCATCCAGAGGAATCCGCATGAGCAACTTGTATTTGTTTGCCTCCAACGTACTAGCAACACTACCAGGACAACTCCTGGAAGAAAAGTTTTCAAATCAGTGTCAATACTACATTATACAGAGAAAATGTGTAATGAAGTGAAACAGAAAAGTATATACACCGTGTTTCAAAAGTAGCTTTACAACTTCGCAGGAGAATATAAATTTATTTAAAGGATGTGCGCAATATTTTTAAATGCAGAAATTTAGCCAAACACATCAAAATCCATGTGCCTTCCTGGAACATGTTCGTGACAGTCCAAAACTTAATGTGTTTTGCGGCCTCAGCAAAGATAAAGTGTACGGCCCCTTCTTTTCCATGGAGAAGACCATTACCGGCATTGTGTATCTGGACATGCTCCAACAGTCCCTCATTCCTCAACTTGACGAAGATGACCAGGAAGAACGACGCATTCACTTCCACCCCCTCATTACCTCGGAGAAGTGCGCGAGTACCTCAACAACCGTTTCCCAGGTCGGTGGATTGGTCGGGCCGTACCAATAGCATGGCCACCTCGTTCCCCGGATCTAACACCTTTAAATTTTTTCTTGTGGGGATTTGTTAAAGATCGAGTGTACGTGCCACCCTTACCTGCAAACGTGGCCGAACTCCGAACTCGAATTACCGCCGCAGTTGCTGAAGTGACACCAGAGATGCTACAACGCGTGTGGCAAGATATTGACTACAGATGGGACGTCTGCCGCAAAACAAATAGAAGTCACATCGAACCATAAAAATCCGATGGACATAAAACTTGAAGTGTTTGACTACATTTCTATGTTCTGAAATTATATGTTTCTCCTATCAGTTCACCAATATCTCGCCCTCGAGTTGTAAAGCTACTTTTGAAACACGCTGCATCGTAGTGTAGCATTCATCTGGTTTAACAGAGAAAAAACACAAAACTTATAACCAGTGAACCATTGACAGTGTATGTCGGACATATAAAATATAAAGTAAAAATAGAATGAAGATTTCCGACTTCTGGGTCGTTGCGCTGTGTAGTCTGGTCGATGTTAACCAACGTTTCAGAGGTCATACAGCCCCCGTCATCAGGGCGATGAATTCATCTACCATACTACACAACGCGAAAACCCAGAAGACGGAAATCTTCATACTCACCGCTGTGAAAACCTCAGATCTTACATAAAAATAGAATGTGCAAAGATATGAAGAAAAACAACACTCATAAACTATTTAAAAAGGTATGTTATTAATAAATTGAGTTGTCTGCAACATACTGCTACGATATCATATTTCTTGTGGGCTACATACATACGTGGAAGGTTTCCGAATAGTCCCACTCCTACGCTTTATGCTTGTGATGACAAGTAAGTCAGAGAACAAGAAAAGTGCCCGCTCCTTGCGTGTGCCCTGACCAGACACCATGGTAACAAGGTCATGCCTGATAAAGGTACGATCAGCTGCCACCAGATTGATTAATCCTTCAATTAACGCCTCCAGCTCCTTCAGAGTTTCCCGCTCAGTACAGTTGATCTTCATTGCAAGATCATGTACTTCTCGCTGCGCTTCGTACAGCAGCTGGTGATCGGGATGTGAAGGATCCGTGTGTTTCAGCAGCGTCTGCAACAGCAAATGTAAATCTCAACTGCGATTCAGTTCCAGACCAACGCCCAAGTGATTTTTATACGTGTTCCTTAATATGTATTTCCTTGACAGTCATCAATTAGCATCAATTCAGCAGATAATTCAAACCTGAATAAGGAGCTCATAACGTGGTATCCTCTGGACTGGCATGATGAGTAGACAGTCTAGCGCAAGCTTTCCTTTGTGTTCCCTTGCCATTGCCTGGAATATACAATGAATTAAACACATCTGTAACGTATCTTACGGTCCCGCACGCAGCCGTCTCTTTGCTTCCAGATCTAAGCAAGAACGAGCCAATGATATCAGCGTATCTGCGTACAGATCATATGAAAACAAATACAGATACATACTAAATACTCTCTGCATGAAGGCCAAGGAGGGTTTGAAAGTAATTCTATTAATTTATAGGTCAGCATCTATTAAGCTGAAACAACTGACGTGAACAATATTTGTGCATGTCCCATTATCTCATTCTCCTTGAACTGACCACCCCGACAATTTAACATAGAGATTATAAATTTAAAAGTGTCTCATTACACATCCCTTTACCTCTGTCAGCATCCTGGTGTGATACCACGCCATTCTATCTTCTTTTGATAAGAGGCCAATATTTTATTTCCATATAAAACATAATAAAGGTAGCCCTCGATTTGCGCCGGTTCAATTTGCGCCGATTTTGAAACCACCAAGTCAAAACGTGAAAAAATATATTTTACTATTATTTATAACGTTTTACAATGTATCTCGTACTGATTCTTATACTAAATCGTAATTCTTACATCGCTGGTTTTGAATAAGAATTATAAATACAGTCATCTCTGCAATTACGTATGTTTCGATAACGCGAATTTGCTCCAATGAGATCGATGAATCGATAAAAGCTGTTTGTGAAATGCAAACTTTTGCATATGCGAGTTTGTTCTTATGCGCTTTAAACTTTCAAAGGACTAATTTAATCTCTGCGGAGGTACCGGGGTTATTT